TCCACGCCGCCGCTGCGCAGTCACCCTCCCGGAGCCCACCGTCTGTCTGGATGATCACGTTGGACCGGTCCAGCGCGAGGGCGCTCGTCTCGTAACGCGTCTCCCATGTCTTCCCCTTGTCCAAGCTCCGCTATCAACTAGAATTGCTAGGGTTGGTGGCTGTGATAATGCGAACATGAGGTAGTAAGATAGGCTCCTTCCTTCCCGGAATGCAGACGAGTCGCGCTGGCGGTCGAGCCAAACGGCAGCGGCACATCCTATTTGCAGCCCAAGGAGGAGGCAGAACGAGGAGGAGGAGGAGGAGGAGGAGGAGGACAATGAGGAGAAGGAGGCAGCAGGAGAAGGAGGAGGAGTGCCCCAGGAGGCCTCAGAAGGCTCCAGGAGGCTCCAGGGGGTTCCAGGATGCACCAGGAGACCCGAGGAGAAGGCAGGATGCCCAAGGAGGAGGCAGGAGGACGCATGGGGAGGAGGAGGAGGAAGGAGGAGGAGGACGAGGAGGAGGAGAAGGAGGAGGAGGAAGCAGAAAGAGGAGGAGGAGGAGTTAGGAAGTGGAGCAGTCAGGAGGATGAAGCAGGAAGAGCAAACACGAGGAGAAGGAGGCGGGAGTGGGTAGGAGGGCATCTCCAGGCAAGCTACACAGACCATTATGTGGGGTCCCACCGTCGGAATCATTTTCTCTCGGCCCCCTGCGCAGAGACCTGTCACACCCCCTTCCTCTCTTACTCACACGCTCGCATTTTCCTCGCCATCGCCGTCATCATCGTCACCGTCATGATCATCATCATTATCATCACCATCATCATCAACAGTATCAGCATCATCAACATCAACATCATCATCATCATCATCATCACCACCACCATCACCATCATAATACTCATCATCACCATAATCAAAATCCTAATAATCATCCTCCTCGTCGTCATCATCATCATCAGCATCATCATCATCATTATCAGCCAGCCAGCATCATCGTCATCATGAGCAGCATCATCATCGTCACCGCCACACTCACACACTCACCATACACACACACACACATTCACAACATCATCGTCGGTATCACCATCACCATCGTCGCAATCGTATACATTCACGTAATCACGCGTTCACTAACACTTTCATGTTGAGGAAGTCTCGAGCTAGAACCTCGTCTTTGAGTGAATCTCGAGAAGTCTCGAGCGGGACCCCCTCCCTAGGGGGCCCGCTGATCATGGTGATAATCCGAGGCGGCCGTAGGAAAATGGCGTAAAAGCAACAAGTTGGGTGACACCTGGGAGCTTGAACCCAAGAGGACGTCTCGGACGGCAGCCTCGCCTGTGAGTGAATTGCGAGGAATTCGCGATCGGGGACCCCCTCCCTATGGGGCCCGCACATCGTGTTGGTAATCCGAGGCCGCCTTTGTAATCCGGGGCGGCCATCCTCAGTCCATCTTTGAGACGTCGGCAGGGACCAGCGGCTACCGGGCAGGAAGAGAGCCTCCGTCGTCAGAGGGACGCCGATACTTTTGACCCACGGGAGCTTCAATCGAACACCCCGTCTTGAAAAGGAGCCACCCTCGACCCAATGACTGCTGAATGCTAAAAACACGAATGTGCGCGGCGCTCATGCTAACTCTCCATTTCAAGAACGAACCGCCCTCTACCCTTCTAATCGTTGCAAGCTTGAAAGACGAATGGTTATAAATAATAATGTGCACCGTGGTAGGGACAGACAGCTCAATGTTGGCACTGTGCTGCCCCATCCTTGCAACTGCTGCAATGTTTTTTAAACGAGTGTCCGAGGCGCTACTGCGTGAGCCCCCCTATTTAACAAAACAGCGCCATGCGTTCTGTCCTTCTTATTGGTGTAAATGTTCAAAACGACGTTACGCGGCGCTACGGCGAGATCTCCATGTTGAAAACAACCCCCTCAATCCGTGCAAATGCTCCATTTGCTAAGCTTAAGGGCCATACGTGGTGAGGTAGTCTCAGGCGCATCCCCCAGCCCGCCCTACCAACACCTCAGGGGTTGCGACAGGGAGGAGTTATTCCCAACCATCCTGTGGTGTTGGTCCTCAGTTTGACGAGACAGCGCCCCGCAGTGATCCCTCCTCCTTCCTCCTCCCCCATGTTCCTCGTCCTTTCCCCATCCTTGCCCCTGCCCTCCGCATGTCCTCCTCGTCATCATCATGATCGTCGTCACCAGTCCATGTCGGCACACCCCTCACACGGTCCGTGACCTCATAGCGAGCTCCGCCTAAGGCCTCAATGGCGACGTTCGCATGCGTCTGCCCCCGTCCATTACGGCACACCCCATCACACGGTTCGTGGCCTCACGGGCAGCTCCGCCTCAGGCCCCACTGGCGACGTTCACATGCGTCTCCCCCCATTACGGCGCCCTCTCACAGCGACGGTGACATGCGTCTCCCCCACCCAATACGGCACACCCCTCACACGGTTCGTGGCCCCGCAAGGAGCTCCACCGAAGGCCCCATTGGCAACGTTCGCATGCGTACCCCCCGCGCCCATCACGGCGCACACCTCACACGGTTTGTGGCCCCGTAGGGAGCTCCACGGAAGGAGCCAGCGGCGACGTTCGCATGCGTCTGCCCCGTCCGTTACGGCACACCCCTCAAACGCTTCGTGGCCTTATAGGGAGCTCCGCCTAAGGCCCCAGTGGCGACGTCCGCCTGCGTCACCCCCGCACACTACGGCGCCCTCTCACACGGTTCGCAGCCTCATAGGGACAGCCACGTAAGGCCCCAGTGGCGACGTTCGCACGCGCCTCCCCCGTTCCTTACAGCGCACCCCTCACACGATTCGTAGCCCTGTAGAGAGCTCTGCCTAAGGCTCCAGTGGCGACGTTTACACGAGTCTCCCCCGCCCATTACGGCGCCCTCTCACAAGGTTCGTGGCCCCATATGGAGCTTCACCGAAGGCCCCAGTGGCGACGTTCACGTGCGTCTCCCCGCCCTTTACGGCGCACCGCTCACACGGTTCGTGGCCCTGCAGGAAGCTCCACTGAAGGTCCCAATTGCGAAAATCACACGCGCCTCCCCCGTCCATTTCGGCACGTTCCTCACATTGTTCGTGGCCTCATAGGGAGCTCCACCGCAGGCCTCAGTTGCGACGTTCACATGCGTCTCCCTCGCACATTACGGCGCACCCCTAGGGACCTTCACCGAAAGCCGCAATGGCTGCGCTCGCATGGCAGCACCGCGTCCGTTACGGCACACCCTTCACACGTTCCGTGGCCCCATAGGGAGCTCCACCGAAACCGATACCCACAACGCGGTAATCACAACTGCAGATGGCTGGGTCTTTCGCAGAGATAATTCTCAATCAAAACAACGGCAGAGGAGAAGCGTATCCGGAGGGCAGAGGAGGAGGAGGAGGAGGCGGAGGAGGAGGAGCAAAGCCGAGGGGGGGAAGAGACGGAGGGGGCGCTTCACTGATGTGCTTCTCAGGCCCGCCTCCCACGGCCGGCCGGGGCCTCTGCGAGCCCTGCCCGGCGAAGAGGAGCGCGAACGAGGGCGGCCGGTCTTGCAGCATGTTCTGGCCAGGGCGCTGGAGCAGCGACCATCCATAGATGTAGCAGGACGGCAGAAACATGTTTGGGGGCGTTTTGGGCATTGCTCGTCCTTCTTGGGCCTCCGCAGGGCTTCTCGTCGCCGCGGCTGGATCCACCTCGGAAGACCGGACAGGATGGACTCCAGGAAGAGGGGTCTGGGGAATGATTTTGAGCGGACCTGGGCGAGGCGGAACATGGACCACTGCGGTCACGGACCGGTGGATGAACAAATACGCACGTCATCACGAAAAAGCTCACGCACAAAAACACACACGCACACGCACACACACACAGATGTGTATATATGTATATCCATGTATCTATATATATACATATAGATATATACATATACATATACATATATATTATGGATCTGCATGTACGCGTCTTCCTTTATAGAATGTGGCCGTGCTCATGGAGGGCAAGTTGGGCAAATCAGATGAGGCGCCCTGTGGCATCTCCATGGAGAGGAGCAAGGACCTCCAGGCGACACTGAATTTCTCTGGATACAGAGGGAAGCGCGACCACCGAGTTGTGGAACGAACCGCTCTGGGACCCTACGAACAGATGTTCGCAGGGGAGACTACAAGGCATATTATAGCTTTGATGTGGCCCTCGATCTGCCTATGCGAAGCGCAACTCCCCCAAAGGCATATTCTGCGGATGGGCAAGTGGGGCTTCGAGGTCGCCATAGGCCAGCTGTTCGGAGCCCTAGTTGGAACTCAGCTGGTGTGTAAGGCCCGCAGCGCCCAAGTGCCGCGGCAGCTGACCAGTGAGCAGAACGTCACACCCGAAACAAATGTTGGGTCGAACATGGTTTTACTCACGGGGGGTGGAGGGGCCAACAGCGGAATTCCATGTCGCACAAGGGGGGAACAAGTAGCCGCCGCGCCGGAGGTGCCGCTATTCCAGCGCCCCAGTCTTCACGTAATCCTTGGGGAAGGGCAGCCCCATCAGGTTCGTGAGAATGTTCTCGAGGTCCTCGCATGCTTCTCTAACATTTGACTTCTCTGCTCTCGGGCCAACCGGTACTCGCAACACGAGATGCACTCGGATGGAGCGTCGCGCCAGATACTGCCCTGCCAGGTGCCGACCGCAACTCGCTTGTATGAGCCCTGGTCGCGGCTGATTATGGAGTGCGCCTATACGACATGCCCGTGGACTGGAAACTGTCGCGCGGAACACCGAGATCCTCATGCCCAGTGGATTTGAAACTCCTTCCCGCCTTTTTACGACCTCCCCTTGACAAACGGGCACGCAGTAAGGCATCTAGAGAACTGCCAGGTCATTACTCATGGAAAGCAGCAGTGCCAAGAACTCTTTCTCTGCCCGCGAGAGACAACTGCTGCTCGCGACAGAAGTGCTTCGGAACCCATCGTTGCACATATACAAGATAGGGCGTGCTTGTGTGTGTGAGCGTATGAGTGCATTGTTTTTTGATTATGCCGAGCGATGGCTCCATGTGATGCCAAACGGGCCCACGCACCGATAGCTCGCCCAGGCTACTGTCAGCGTTTGCTTCCCTCGAAGCATGCACCCACCCGTGCACATTCTAATAACTCGCGGCTCGAAGCACAGACGCTCTCAGAAGCTGCATCAACAACGTCCGACTCTATCTGTAATCAGCCCCGGAAGCTGCATGGGCCAATTCCGAGCATGTTTGTTAACAAACTCCAGAAGCTGCAGGGGCCAACTCCGCTTTCACCTTGTTCACGCATGCTGCTGTCAACCTTAGATCATATGGGACACCAGATGATAGCCGCCAAATTCCAGCGTACATTGCCTGCAGTGAGGAACGCTGCAGCTCATCGCTGGCCCATCAATACTCCGCAACCGTGATGGAGGCACTGATTGGAATGACCTCAGGTCCCTCCGAGATCCTTGCATTGCGTACTGTCAGTGCTCTTTAGGGCCCCAGGCTCCAGATTCCCTTAGTTCTACGGTGCTCCTGGGCGTTCCTGGGACTTGCCGCATGAGTTCTCCCGAGGTCTTGGGGGCGCGCCTGGGATTCCAACCAAGGTCACAGCATGGCTTGGCATGTTTCCAGGAGACTGTCCTCTAGTTCTCTTGGATTGTCTTGGGCTGTTTGGAAGGCCTGCCTGATGGCTGGCCCAGGAGGCCGAAATCACTGAACAGATTTCTGCTTTAGCATGCCGCTTTTCTTCCCGAGAGCGTCCAAGACGACCCTGAGAGGCCTCCAAAGAGAGTCCCAGGACGGCATCCGAGGCCACGAAGAGGAGCCCAAGGGGCCCTCAGGTTGGGCCCAGGAGGGGGATCCTCCCAGACTCGGGGGCGCGCAAACATGGATTAGTGAGCCATGGATTTGGCGCGGTCGCCAAATCAATGGATCGTGGGAGGTGCCCTCCCCAAAGTGCGGCTGGTGCCGCCTCGTTCGGCGGCGGAAATCCCCGATTCCCCTGCGCGTCGCTAATCCACGCCCCCTTGATCCAGATTTGCGATCGCCTGACAGACGGCCCCCAGGATTGCGAGGGGGCCCCCAGGTGGCCCCCAGGAAGCGCTCAACAGGCCCCCAGATATCTCCACTCGGCTCGGCTCGGCTCCGCGCCTGTGGCGCCATGAAGGCGCGGCGAAGGGGGCGCCGAGGCGCCTGCGTGGAAGAAATCGGCAAAACAGCATTCACATGTGAAAACCATGCATGAAAGGCGTCAGAGGATGAGGAGGAGGAGGAGGAGGAGGAGGAGGAGGAGGAGGAGGAGCCCCCAGGATGCTTCCAATAAGCCTTTCAAACAACCCCCCAAACGCCTCCGTAACGCCTCTTGTCCACCAATCCTGGCACGGCGGCGGGATGCGCCGAAAGCTACTCGCTCCAGCGCCCCCGCAGCCTGCTGGAGGGGTTCGTGGCATGCTGGAAGCACTTTGGGCACCTTCAGAAGGCCGTGGTCCTCGGCCCGACCCGCAGGCCACCTGGACGCTGGCGGCGAGCGAGGGGGGGAGGTGAGAAGGAGAAGGCCTTCTCAGAAGGCGGCGGGACTTCTCAGAAGCCCTCGCGCCTTCCGAGACGTTTTCTTGTGTTCGGGAAAAGCCTAGAAAACTTCTCAGAAGGCAGAGGGACTTCCGAGCCCTCTGAGAAGGCCTTCTCCTGCTCACTTCCCCGCCGACCTTGCAAAAGGTTCCCCGTGGTCCTCGGCCCGACCCACAATCTGATCCGAAGGAAATGGCGTGCGCAAGCAGAGGGCTATGCGCAAGACTTCTGAGTCCAATGATGCATGCAAATTGTCCGTCGCCCAGGTAAATTCGTACCTTTCGAAAGAACCCCAAAGACCCGAAATGAGCCCCGAGACCGCCCTACGACGCCCCCAGAGGGCTCCTCGGCGGCGAGGAGGACTGCCAGGAGGCGGGTGGGCCGTCCAGCGCACGCCGGAACTGGAGATCCCTCGAACTGGTGCTGAGTTATGCCTTTTGTTCTGGCCATCGTTTTGGCCTCGCTGGGTTGCATGCTTCGAGCCTCAACGTTAACGGTACGCGCGCTGGCGCACCTTCGGCTATGTGCGAAATGCGATGCGGTCGTGAGCTGCTGGGCACGGCTCTTGACATGGTTTGGCACTGTGATGTTGTCTGGTCCGCTCCGAGGAGCGCCTGCCACACTTTTCGAGAACGGCCCTGCCTCTTCGGAGGCTTGCGCCGCCCATCCCCCTGCCTCCCACCAGCTCACTCGGGCCACGGGTAGACAGTCGATCCAGATTCGGTTCGCATCTCGTTCCCCAGAGCTCCCGCGCCATATCCAGGGTCTCCCTGGCATGCCGAAGCCATCAGCAAAGCTCCCGAGGCTGAGACTGGCCTTCCGAAGGGAGAAATCCCACTCCGAGCAAGATCCGCGGTTGTCCAACCTGCAACAGCCCCTGCACATGTTCCCTCCATCCATCCCTCGCCCCCTTGCTGAGCGATGCCAGGAGCCAGTCCTTGTCCTTCCTCTGTGGCCGGCCGAGCTCGATGGATAGGACCTGGACGGGAATTACAAAGCTCGCCAGATGCCGTTGTGGCATCTCGGGTCACCCTCCTGCTGTCTACATTTTGCATGCCCGACGCCTTTGTTACTCTGTTCAATGCCGGCTTTCCTCAACCGTCTGGTCTCCCTGGTTTCCGTCGAATTGCTCCCTGCATGTGCTCTTTAATTTATGTTGTCGAGAAGGGAGACTGCCAAGAGGTAAAATCAGCCGTTGGCCATTCGAAACGGAGACGATGGGGTTGGCCACTCGATATTGGCACGAAGGGGATGGATATGTGTTTCAAAGCAGCATGTGCAGAGGAGGAATGGATTAGCTCAGTTTCCTTACGCCTACACGGGGAATCACAGGACATATGTTTTTTGTATGGGGTAACATGTTATAGCTCTGCTGCAACTGGAAAGTCATCGGGTAACATGACAGCAGTGTCCCACGAGGCACAAAATAACACAGCTTGAGACGGCTACACTTCTCGACATGACGGAAGAGGGACTATGTCACAATTCCCTTCGTCTAGGCCCCCACGCGGGTAACACGCGTCAGATCTTAATCCGCCGACCCTGGTCGTCCCAGGGTGTTACTGGAAGACGCTCGTTCAGCCAAAGATGTGTTTCCCCTCCTGGCTGCCATGCTTGGCTCTCCAAGCTCGCCAGCGTTGGATCGAGCCAGGTCGTAATTAATCGAATCAAAGGGCTGCCCTTCCCTTTTGATCCTTTCCCCGCCAGAGCGGGAGCAGTCCCTGGGCGGGTCCAAGTGGGGCTCCTGGGTCAGAATACGCCCTCTTTCAGCAATTTGGGTCCCAGGCGCCTGAGATGACCCTAAGGCGGCCCAAGAGCCAAGAGGCGCAAGAGGACCCCCACGAGGGCCCGAAGACCCAGAATCATTACCGATCCCACGGTCTTTGAGCGATTTTAGCGTTCTCTCCTTTTCGATCTTTCAACGCCCCAAGACGGACTAAAAGGCCCCCAAGAGCGCCGAAAGACGGGCGCAGTTGGCAGCACCCGGAGCATTCACCAAGGGAAAGCGAGGAACAAGCGATAGTATACCAGTAAGAAGCAATGACGAGAAGGGAAGGGAGGAGGCGGGAGAAGAGAAGGAGCAGCATTGCCACAATCGGAACGAGTACCCAACACAGGAGGATTGGGAACTGAGACATCGGAGACCAACACGCCTGACGTACATAGACCCACACATCGGGCATCTCGATTTTTTCGAGACACGGGCCCCTGACCTCTCGACCACTTCCCCAGGACCGATTTTTCATCCCGAGCCGATGTCTGACCGTCCCGAGGCCTGCTGAGGGCACCGAGACGCCAAGAACAGTGGAAAACCTACGTCTCGATTTGTGTCGAGACGCTGTATGTCTGGGGAAGCAAACTGCTCTTGATCTGGACCAGATCCAGCTGCTCATTTGCCGGAATCCTAAGTCGTAGAGCCGGGCAGAACTGCTTCGGAGCACTGCGCGCGCGGGGGTGGGGCCGTTCTCCCGTCCTTGGTCTTCGCACGCGCGTCGGCCTGACCGGCGGGGGGGAGCCGCAAAACGCTCCGAGGCGGGAGCAGCTGCACGAGTGCAGCTCTACACTCGTGCTGGTGGCCGAGGGGGAACGAGCATATTTCGGCCACACGCAAGAGTGACCCTGGGTAAGAGTGACCTTTGGTGCGCGACTTTTTGGGGGCCGCGGGGGGACCAAACCTGGGCGCGCAAGCAGCTGCTACCGCTTCGTTTTCAGCCATCTGGGGACCCATCTGTGCAAGCACCAAAGGTCACTCTGGCGAAGGGTCACTCTTACGTCCAGTCGAACATTCTCAGCGGGTGCTCCAGCCTGTGCGCCTGGAAACGGCAGGCGAAGCACTTTCGGTCCTCCTCCTGCTCCTCCTGATCCTCCTCTTCCTCCTCCTCGTCCTCGTCCTCGTCCTCCTCCTCCTCCTCGAGCACATTCTCAGCGGGTGCTCCAGCCTGTGCGCCTGGAAACGGCCAGGCGAGGCACTGTCGGTCCTGAGAATCTGTTCTGGGTCGGCAGCGGGGGCGCACGCTGTGGCGCGTTCGGAGAGCCGGCGGGCCGCGCCAGGCCGAAGGCACACGGAGAGCGACCAGTTGAGGAGGGCGGCCGCGAGGGCATACGCCGGGGGGGGGGGGGGCTCGGACGCCGGGGATCTTCGCCACGAGCAGTGCCCAGGCGCTTAGTGAGCCCTGGAAACGACAGGGCCGTTTTTGTTACCGGTTCCGTTTCGCCGATTATGTTGCCGGTTCCGACGCCGTTTTTGTACCGGTTCCGTCGCCGTTTTTTGACCGGCTCCGGCTCCCGCTCCAATACTGGAGCCGTTTTTTTGCCGTTTCAGGTCGCCGTTTTTTTGCCGTTTCCATTTTCAAGGGAAATTGCTCTAGAAACGGTGAAAAAAACGGCCCTGCCGTTTCTGGGGCCCACAAAGCCCAGGCGGCCTCATGCGGCTCAGAAATGTATGCCGATTTGCATAACATGGAGGCTCTGGGGTCCAACCTTACCTGCGCAGGGGCGGTGGGGGAGCGGGGGGAGGAAGGAGAGCGCGCGGCTCCGCAGGGCCTGGGGCAATCAACGCGGCAGGCATGCGCTCCCGCCCACCTGCCTGCCTGCAACATCTACGCACCCACCAGCTTGCCAGGCTGGCTGCCCGCTTGTGCACCAGCCTACACGCGCACACAAAGATGCGCGCGCAACAGAAGAGCAGACGTGAGCAACACTGATAACACGAACAACCATAATGGTAAGCAGTATGTCTGTCTGCGTGGGCCCCGCGCCGTGGGCCATTGCACCGTGGTGCAACACACGGGGTGTTAGTTAGAAGTTGCAATCTGAGTGATGAAGCGTAGGCGTTGCAACAGGTAGGACACTAGATAAACCATGTGACGCAACATACGTCGTCAAATATACAGGGTGCGATCTATGGGCTGCAAGCGGCGTAGTGTAACACATGGGATGCAACATATGTGGTGCAAGCTATGTGGCGCACGCCATGTGGCGTAAGCTATGTGAAGCAACCAATGGGGTGTACTCCATAAGGTGCAAACTTTGTTGCACAAGCTGTGGGACGCTATCTATGAAGTGCCATTATCTTTGGCCGCATCCTCGCGATCACCTCCCAAGCTCGCGCAAACATTCCATCCAACCTCCCGCAACTTGTTGGCACAATGCACGTGGACAGCGACAAAAACAATGACGATGGCAATGCTGATGATGTCTATGACGACGGTGGGGACGATGACGACGACGACGATGGTGATAGTGATGAAGCTAATGGTGCTGATGATGACGGTGGCATCGCTGGAGGTGGCAATGATGATGACGATGGTGATGATGAGGACGATGAGGAAGTGCGCGCGCAGCAACTTGACGAGGGCGGCGACACGCATGATGGCGATGATGACGGCGGCGGTGCGGATGACGACGATCAGCAGATCATATCGGAGCCCATGGAGTCCTCTGAAGGTCACGCTGCTGAAGCCTTGAGACGTTTAGAACTCCCGGGGGGGCGACTGTGCAGCCAACTGCTTAATTGCCTTCAGATTGGGTGCGGCCACGTTCTGCACGCGGCAGAATTGGCTTCTAGGCTGAGGAGGCCCCCCCCTGGCGCGCAGCTAGGGATCGGAGCTCGCAGCACTCAGGCCCCAGGCTTTCCTTTCCTTCCACGACCCTGCCCCCTCGCCCGACTCCCGCCCCGACCCTTCCCTCTGGATGGCCGCTGCCTGGGCAGCAAAATGACTGGCGTGCTTGGCATGTCAGACGCTCCGTAGCTCTGAACCTCGCGCGTGCCCCGACGGGCTCCATCAGTCAGAAACTTCCCGCGGGATTACTCCTCTCGCCAACATGGCTGCTAGGCGCTCACTCTTTGCAAAAGCTCCTTGCACTTGTGTATCAACACACGCCGTCCTGCCACTCCTGACGCATTGCTGCTCACTCCGCTCGGGCCCCGTCTTCCAGCATCCTCGCCCCCTCCCCCTGCAAGGCTGCAAGGGGGGCTCGCGGGGAGATGGGCCCGCGAGCCCCCCACCCCACCCTCGGACTTGATTGCTATGTCAGGCACGTCGAAGAGACGGGGAGCATGCTTGCAGTGGCGGCTCAAGCTGAGGAACATCGCGCTGTTGGGATAGCCTCCATATGTTTTTTGCCGCGCCTTCACGCGGCACATCTTGGCTTCTCCGCCCGGCTGTTGAAGATGAAGCGTGGGTGCGGCGTTGTTCGTCTTCCCGACAAGCTCCGCAATGGCCGACTGCGCGCCCTTCGCGTGTAGGCGCGGGGCTTCGCGAGCTTCGCAGTCGACTTGAACGCTGTGCTGCGCCTCCTCGCGCAGCTCCTTGCCGTGCTCGCCGTGCTTCGTGCCTGATTGGGCGCGACGCCTGCCGCCAGCGAGATGGCCCACTCGACGAGGCGAGCGCGCGCCGAGATCCCCCGCCTCGCGCGAGACGACCAGCAGGAGATTGGCCGCCGCCTCCGCTTATGTTGCTCCCGTCGCACTTCAGGACCACATCCCAGAAATAATTTCGAGCACCCGGAAGTCGAAAGAGTGTCGAAAGAGTGTCGAAACAGTGTCGGGCGAGTGTCCCCTAGGGCCCGACACGTGAAAACCCTCTAGTTTCGGCACTTTTTCTGGTGCTCGGATTTTTTTCTGGTGATCAATGCTAAAGTAGGTTGGAAGATCATAAGCCTCCGCGAGTCCCCTGATCCCCGCGCGACCTTTCCCGGGCCCGCCGCTGCCGCTCCCGCCCGCCCCGGGCAGCCCCCATCGGACCCGCGCTCCGGCCACTCCCGGCTGAACCGAGCAGGTCGCCGCGCGTCGCCGCCCGCTGCCATCTGCGCCAGAGAGCGAGCGCAGCTGTGCTCCCAGGTTGGCGATGTTTGCGATGGTCGCCGAGATCGCCGAAGTCTTGCGCCGACAGGTCGCAGCAGCAGCATCCCAAACGACCTAGAACGCTCTGAAGAACCAACCCCTAAGGGCCCTCCGCCAAACAACGCATGCGAGCCATTGAGCCTTGTAAAAGGCAGTGATTCGACTCGAACAGACTTGCTTGCGGCATGTACACGCATCCGCGCGCGTCAAAACCGAGGCGAGATCACGGACGCGGCGGGCGAAACGCAGGCGGTCTAAAAAAAACGCTCTGTCAGGGCAACTGCTATTGCACCGGGGCCTTCTACTACGGCCCAGCATCTCACTAGCCCCCCCCCGCCTTGGCCCAGAAAAAATTCGGAGGTGGAGGGGGGGGACAGGGGAAGGGGCGGGGCGGGGAGAGAGGCCCAACCCAGCCCCGGGGGGGGATGCACGCCGTGCGCTGCTGCTGCTGACGGACTTCAGCGACATGTGTCCTTATAAGCTACTCGGAATCGATGATCTCTGAGATCTGGCGGCTCGTTCTAGCCCCGTCCGACTGGAAGCGACTCAGACCTCCAACGGCGCAGTACTACCACCTGTCCGGCCCCGCCGCCCTGGCCAAAAGCCAGGGGGAGGGTGGGTTCAAACGTGTCGCTGCCTGCGCGGGCGAGGCCGCCAGCGGAGCCGTCGGGGAAGCTGGGGTGCAACCGTTGCTGCAGTCGGATTGCCGTGGGGGCCGCAGCTGGCACCAATGGGATGCACCCACTGCTGCAATCGGACTTGCAGTGGCGGCCACAGCCGGCACCGCCGTAAGAGTTGCCGCGCGCGCTGCCGCTGATGCTGCTGACGACGCCCGCGTGGGCGAAGCCGTCAATGCTGCCGTCGGCGAAGCCGTTGAGAATTCTACAGTCCTGGTCCGTGGCACACGGTGGCGAAGTGGCACTCGACATCGTTACGGTGAACACCGCGGTACTTCTCAAATCCGTCACGTTAGATGGCCAAGTGGTGCTCACGGCCGACACGGCGACGCCGCGGTCACGCGCGGCTCCGAAGTGCTTGGCCCCAGCGACATGCTCGACACCGCCGCGGTGGACAACGTGGCGCCGCAATGATGAGATGCAGGGGCGGGGTGCGTCCGTCGCGGAGTCTGTCGCCGAGGTGATACGTCCGCTGTGTCCGACGAGGCAGGGAAGCACTGGTGCCGACAGAATGCTCCGCTGTATCGCCCACGGAGTACAAGTGCCCGATGGGGACATCCAGAGCTTCGCTGGCGCGGTGACGTCGGACCGCCGGACGCCGTCCAAGATCGTTCGCAGGCGGCTTCGGAACGCGCTCCGATGGCTTCAGATGCCTTCCAAGACGCCTGTCATGACACCAAGAAGGTCCCAGAAGCCTCCAAGACGCTCCGAGAGGCAGCCCAAGAGAGGCCCAAGAAGCAAAAATCGTGCCATTCCTATGGGAAAACGTATACTCTTCGCATGTTCGCCTCTTGGGCTTTCACCGCGTCCAAGACGGCCCAAGAGGCGCCCAAGACCGCCCCAAGACGGCCCAAGAAGCTTCCAAGAGGGCCCCAGGACAGCCCAAGAGGGCCCCAAGACGGCCCAAGAGGCGCCCAAGATGGCCCAAGAGGGCCCCAAGACGGGCCCAAGAGGGGGCCCAGAGGGGGACCACGA